TGAAATTATGATTTTGCACATTTTTGATGTGTTTTTGTTGCTGCAATTTTGACACTTTTTTGTGTGCACATGAAATGTGCAAAAACGTTGATGCAAAACACTGGATTGTGTGCAAATGAGATAATATCTCTACACAAATAGCAAAGGTTTTGCATTACACAAAGTGCAATTTTCCTGATATGCCTAGTAGTACTAAACATATACTGCTGATTTTACAAAAAGTAAAAGGACAACAACAAAAAGTAAAAGGACAACAACAACAAACCTCATGGTGGTTGGCTCTCAGCCTTTTTCCACGAGGACAAGAATATTTGTGAATACTCTTTACCTCTCTCACCTAGGAGGGCAGCTATCTACACTGTAGAAATAATACTGTGACACCACTATAAGTGCTGTCAGTCCTTCCTATGGAATCCTGGGATTTGTAGACATACAAGGTCTTTAGGCTTCTCTGCCAGTGACTAACCTACAGTTCCCAGGATTCTGTAAGACTGAGCCATAGGCAGTTAAAGAGGTCACATTGCATTATTTCTACAATGTAGATGCACCCCTCGCCCCCATATATTGTTTAAAAAGTGAGTTTTCAGATGCTTAGTTAGAAAAACAACACAACCTCACAACACACCAGAAGGCTACAAATTTGTGACACAAAACACATCTAAGTAGTTGGGCCAACTGTGCCTTAAAAATATAAAAGTAGCTAAAAACAGTAACTGTTACACTGCAAAAGGTTATTAGTTGTTACTTGGTAGTAATAATGTAACACAGACTGTCTTATTTACTTTCTCTCTCTCTCTGTGTGTATATATATATATATATATATATATGTGTGTGTGTGTGTGTGTGTGTGTGTGTGTATTATTTTGTAATTAGGTTTGCCAGAGTGAAAACTGGAGAAATCTCATGTACTTTTTATGGTTGTGCCAAAGAAGGAATTTTATCAGAGGTCTAACAATAGGAAAGCTCATGCTGCTAACTTCTTTCTTTCAGTGAGTCTCAAAGGTGGTGCAAGATCTTATCACATAATGTTGTTGTTGTTGTTGTTGTTGTTACTATTATTATTATTACTATCGTTAGAATCCAAAGATACAGCCACATTAGTCTGTAAAATGCACCTGAGGAAGTAGGCTGAAGTCTAGGAAAGCTCCTACTACCAACTTCTTTCTTTCAGTAAGTCTCAAACGTGCTGCAAGATCTCTCTACATACTGATTCTACAGACTAACATGGCTATAACTTTGAATGCTAACCCTAGTGATGCCATTGTCAACCACATCATGATCATGAGCATCACCATCATATGATCATGATGTGGTTGACAATGGCATTACTAGGGTTAGAATTCAAAGTTATAGTAATAGTAATCTTTGGAGTCTAACAATGGGAAAGCTCATGCTACCAACTTCTTTCTTTCAGTTAGTCTCAAAGG